ATAGGATTTATATTATATCCTCTTAGTAATTGATGGACAAACGGATAATTTCAAAGGGAGCACAATCATTATCATAATACACATCATTCAATTGCATGCCATTCAAGCTAGATGCGTTTCATTCATTTTGATGCATTGGCTACCAATACAGCCGTTTGTCTCAGGACAAGTGACGTTCCATAGGATTTATATTATATCCTCTTAGTAATTGATGGACAAACGGATAATTTCAAAGGGAGCACAATCATTATCATAATACACATCATTCAATTGCATGCCATTCAAGCTAGATGCGTTTCATTCATTTTGATGCATTGGCTACCAATACAGCCGTTTGTCTCAGGACAAGTGACGTTCCATAGGATTTATATTATATCCTCTTAGTAATTGATGGACAAACGGATAATTTCAAAGGGAGCACAATCATTATCATAATACACATCATTCAATTGCATGCCATTCAAGCTAGATGCGTTTCATTCATTTTGATGCATTGGCTACCAATACAGCCGTTTGTCTCAGGACAAGTGACGTTCCATAGGATTTATATTATATCCTCTTAGTAATTGATGGACAAACGGATAATTTCAAAGGGAGCACAATCATTATCATAATACACATCATTCAATTGCATGCCATTCAAGCTAGTTGCGTTTCATTCATTTTGATGCATTGATTACCAATACAGCCGTTTGTCTCAGGACAAGTGACGTTTGTATTCAAAGATTTATAATTTTTATATCCTGACAAAATTTTTATAAGGAAAAACATAATTTCAAAAACACAATCATTATCATAATTCATTCAATTGCATGCCATTCAAGCTAGATGGTTTCCATTCATTTTGATGCATTGGCTACCAATACAGCCGTTTTCTCAGGAGACGTTCCATAGGATTTATATTATATCCTCTTAGTAATTGATGGACAAACGGATAATTTCAAAGGGAGCACAATCATTATCATAATACACATCATTCAATTGCATGCCATTCAAGCTAGATGCGTTTCATTCATTTTGATGCATTGGCTACCAAAATACAGCCGTTTGTCTCAGGACAAGTGACGTTCCATAGGATTTATATTATATCCTCTTAGTAATTGATGGACAAACGGATAATTTCAAAGGAGCACAATCATTATCATAATACACATCATTCAATTGCATGCCATTCAAGCTAGATGCGTTTCATTCATTTTGATGCATTGGCTACCAATACAGCCGTTTGTCTCAGGACAAGTGACGTTCCATAGGATTTATATTATATCCTCTTAGTAATTGATGGACAAACGGATAATTTCAAAGGGAGCACAATCATTATCATAATACACATCATTCAATTGCATGCCATTCAAGCTAGATGCGTTTCATTCATTTTGATGCATTGGCTACCAATACAGCCGTTTGTCTCAGGACAAGTGACGTTCCATAGATTTATATTATATCCTCTTAGTAATTGATGGACAAACGGATAATTTCAAAGGGAGCACAATCATTATCATAATACATCATTCAATTGCATGCCATTCAAGCTAGATGCGTTTCATTCATTTTGATGCATTGGCTACCAATACAGCCGTTTGTCTCAGGACAAGTGACGTTCCATAGGATTTATATTATATCCTCTTAGTAATTGATGGACAAACGGATAATTTCAAAGGGAGCACAATCATTATCATAATACACATCATTCAATTGCATGCCATTCAAGCTAGATGCGTTTCATTCATTTTGATGCATTGGCTATTTGTCTCAGGACAAGTGACGTTCCATAGGATTTATATTATATCCTCTTAGTAATTGATGGACAAACGGATAATTTCAAAGGGAGCACAATCATTATCATAATACACATCATTCAATTGCATGCCATTCAAGCTAGATGCGTTTCATTCATTTTGATGCATTGGCTACCAATACAGCCGTTTGTCTCAGGACAAGTGACGTTCCATAGGATTTATATTATATCCTCTTAGTAATTGATGGACAAACGGATAATTTCAAAGGGAATCATTATCAATCATTATCATAATACACATCATTCAATTGATGCATGCCATTCAAGTTTGTCTAGATGACGTTTCATTCATGCATTGGGGCATTGGCTACTAATACAGCCGTTTGTCTCAGGACAAGTGACGTTCCATAGGATTTATATTATATCCTCTTAGTAATTGATGGACAAACGGATAATTTCAAAGGAGCACAATCATTATCATAATACACATCATTCAATTGCATGCCATTCAAGCTAGATGCGTTTCATTCATTTTGATGCATTGGCTACTAATACAGCCGTTTGTCTCAGGACAAGTGACGTTCCATAGGATTTATATTATATCCTCTTAGTAATTGATGGACAAACGGATAATTTCAAAGGAGCACAATCATTATCATAATACACATCATTCAATTGCATGCCATTCAAGCTAGATGCGTTTCATTCATTTTGATGCATTGGCTACCAATACAGCCGTTTGTCTCAGGACAAGTGACGTTCCATAGGATTTATATTATATCCTCTTAGTAATTGATGGACAAACGGATAATTTCAAAGGAGCACAATCATTATCATAATACACATCATTCAATTGCATGCCATTCAAGCTAGATGCGTTTCATTCATTTTGATGCATTGGCTACCAATACAGCCGTTTGTCTCAGGACAAGTGACGTTCCATAGGATTTATATTATATCCTCTTAGTAATTGATGGACAAACGGATAATTTCAAAGGGAGCACAATCATTATCATAATACACATCATTCAATTGCATGCCATTCAAGCTAGATGCCTTTTCATTCATTTTGACGCATTGATTACCAATACAGCCGTTTGTCTCAAGACAAGTGACGTTCCATGGATTTATAAATCCTCTTAGATTTATGGACAAACGGATATAGAATTTTGATAAATTTTTGCATAAGGAAAACATATGAAAACTTTAACTTTCCTCCCTCTTAGGGGGTCGGGGGATGAGGAGAATGACAGGAGAGTTCCATAGGATTTATATTATATCCTCTTAGTAATTGATGGACAAACGGATAATTTCAAAGGGAGCACAATCATTATCATAATACACATCATTCAATTGCATGCCATTCAAGCTAGATGCGTTTCATTCATTTTGATGCATTGGCTACCAATACAGCCGTTTGTCTCAGGACAAGTGACGTTCCATAGGATTTATATTATATCCTCTTAGTAATTGATGGACAAACGGATAATTTCAAAGGGAGCACAATCATTATCATAATACACATCATTCAATTGCATGCCATTCAAGCTAGATGCGTTTCATTCATTTTGATGCATTGGCTACCAATACAGCCGTTTGTCTCAGGACAAGTGACGTTCCATAGGATTTATATTATATCCTCTTAGTAATTGATGGACAAACGGATAATTTCAAAGGAGCACAATCATTATCATAATACACATCATTCAATTGCATGCCATTCAAGCTAGATGCGTTTCATTCATTTTGATGCATTGGCTACCAATACAGCCGTTTGTCTCAGGACAAGTGACGTTCCATAGGATTTATATTATATCCTCTTAGTAATTGATGGACAAACGGATAATTTCAAAGGGAGCACAATCATTATCATAATACACATCATTCAATTGCATGCCATTCAAGCTGGTTGCCTTTCATTCATTTTGACGCATTGATTACCAATACAGCCGTTTGTCTCAGGACAAGTGACGTTTGTACAAAGATTTATAATTTTTATAGAATTTTGATAAATTTTTATAAGTGAAAAACATATGAAAACTACTAACTTCCCTCCCCGGGGTTGGGGGGGATGAGGAGAATGACAGGAGAGTTCCATAGGATTTATATTATATCCTCTTAGTAATTGATCAACAAACGGATAATTTCAAAGGGAGCACAATCATTATCATAATACACATCATTCAATTGCATGCCATTCAAGCTGGTTGCCTTTCATTCATTTTGATGCATTGGCTACCAGTGCAGCCGTTTGTACAAAGATTTGAAATTTTTGTAGATTTTTTACATTTAACATTTTTATACTTGTATACAATTTTTAACCATAACTGGAAGTAGAGAGACATACTATCGAAATATTGTTGAAAATTGTTTGTTTACATTACGAAGAACTTTATTTACGTAAAATGTGTGTGATCTTACTTTTTTTTTTTTTTTTTTTTTTGTAAAATGATCAGTGGAAAATGTCATGAAGCCATTTCTGACCTCAGGTCTCTGATTGGGCCAGGAAGGAAATGGCTAAACAACAAAAAACCCAAGGAAATAATAATAATAATAATAATTATTATTATTATTATTATTATTATTATTATTATTATTAAAACGTATGACGATAGTTACATATGCAACTTCCTAACTCCCCCCCCACCCGGGGAACGAACAGTATGACAAGAGAGTTTCATATGATTTATGCTAAGCCATTTGATTAATTCCTCTTCGTAACTAATCAACAAACGGAAAATTCCAAGATGAGCATGATTACTATCATATTACGAACGTTTCAGTTGCATGTCATTCACGCTGGCTGCGTTTCATTCGTTTTGACACGTTGATTACCAGTACAGCTGTTTGTCTCAAGACAAGCGACGTTTCTAAGTCATCATTATTATTATTATTATTATTATTATTATTATTATTCTTTCGTTCTGCATATACTAAAGGCTGATGGTTAGAATGTTATTTTAGATTTCCACTTGTGACTTGAGAATGCTGTAATTATTTCATTTCATTGAAAATCTGTCTCCAAGAGTTTTCGGTGTAGCTTTGCTGTTCCGAACAGGCATGTTTGTTTTAATGGCTTCATTTCCAAATCATAGTTCAATGTGTGCAATGTTGTTCAATGTTTTTTGTACAACATTCCCAGTGCTCCAATAATGACTGGAACTGTATTTATTTTGTTTTCAAATCCTTCACAGACTTTCAAAATATCATAATTATTAAAAATTACTGTAATCGACGATTTTCTTTTCTTTGCTTTCAATTCTCATGTAAAATGGTTAGGAGAATCCTGAACTAAGCAGTGCTTCTTTTTGTATTTGTCCAGTAGGACGATGCCTGGTTTATTGTGTTCTAAAGTTGTCTCTGTTTGTATACAAATATCCCAGAGAATTTTAATTTTCTCCAACGCATTCTTCTTTTTGTGATCACATGTTCCAATTACTTGTCACTACATTCAAACCCACCCTTCCGATACTGCTTCCAGTGAATAGTGGGAAGTTTACAATGCTTCCATTTTAAGCCATTCACTTGAATTCTGATATAATACGACTGACAGTCTCATCTTTCTCCGTACAAATTCTACATAAAGCTAAAATGCAAAACACATCAACATTCACCATTACCCAGATTGTCTGCAATTCCTTGTCCTGAGAAGTCATCAATAGTCCTTAAGTTTCTTTCTTCAAATAAACATCTTCAAATCTGTGTCCACATTGGCTTCTCGTCCCTTATCTCTTTTGTGTTCCTCTCGAAATCTGTCATATGTGAATGAAAAGTGTCACTGCTGACACCGGGGGTAGAACGTGAATCTCTAGACAATGAAAATGTAGACCGTCATTTACTATAAATAGAGATATCATGTCACTGACTGCGGGCTTGCAATTACGTATTTGACAATTGTCTTAACCCGGACATTAAAGTCGAGTGTCTCGTGTTTCAAGACGAATTAGTACTTTTCTTAGCAGCTCTACACAGTCCTGTATTAACTGATAAGTAATCAATAAATTTTTGTTAACTCTTTGTTGTTAATGTATTTTAATTGAGTTTTGGTAATTAAATACTTTATTAATTTACATTGAACTCTTCCAGTTATTACTTGTATTATGTACGTGTGAAGGATTACAAAAAACAAAAACTGAATGAGCTTTCTTATCCATGAAGTTATTTTTCCTTTTCATAGCAAATTTAGTCTTTGTTTCTTCTTCTTGCTTTGATTTTTCTTTATTACTCTTTCTATTTTTATCTCCTCACTCACGTATTAACCCCTCGCTACTATTTCCAATATAGCGATATAAACTACCTGTGTCAATCTGTATCATTTAATCAATACGATCCTACCTTCTCTTCTAACACAATCTATCCACATCTGCAAATGGATTTGATACTCAAGGGATATATGGAAGGCAAGATTGACAGAGTAAAACAGCGTGTAACGTAACTAATGAGTGTTTGCAAATAGATGGTAGAACAGGGATTAAAAGAGAGAACGAAAAGACAAAACTTACTAAGCGTTACAAAAGATAGGAAATGGTGGAGAGCCATGCTCTACCACTTCCTTAAAGAACATGTTACATCGAAGAAGACTAATACAGAAAAGAATTTCGCAATTAAAAGAAAATATTTTATTCTTAAATTCTTTTAAAAAATTATATTTGATCACCAAACTTTCAAGGATAGGAAATGGTGGAGAGCCACTTCCTTAAAGAACATGGTAGATCGAAGAAACTAATTCTTCCTTAAAGAACATGGTAGATCGAAGAAACTAATTCTTCCTTAAAGAACATGGTAGATCGAAGAAACTAATTCTTCCTTAAAGAACATGGTAGATCGAAGAAACTAATTCTTCCTTAAAGAACATGGTACATCGAAGAAACTAATTCTTCCTTAAAGAACATGGTACATCGAAGAAGACAATTAAAAGAAAATATTTTATACTTAAATTCTTTTTAAAAAATTATATTTGATCACCAAATTTTCAATAATTAGGTTAATATATCACACTCAAAATATAAAATGGCGATCGAGCTTTCAGATAATTTGAATAAATTCCTTGTGATCCGCTTTTATCAAGATAAATCAGGATGCCTGTAGTTTGGTAGTATTAATAGCTGAGGTTGATTTGAAATTTTCCCTGTATAATTTCCGACAGAATTGACCTGTGTTAAGTGCCGGAACGAAGAAGCTTGGGTTTAAAAATAATTGTTTTTCCCAATTATTCTATAGACATATTCCATAGACATAACATAGACATATTCTATAGATATATTCTATGGAAATATCATAAACATATTCCATAGACATATCTCATAGACATATAGATATATTCCATAGACATATTCCGTAGACATATCATAGACATATTCCATTGATATATCATAGACATATTAACTAGACATTTTCCATAGATACATTTCATAGACATATATTAGACATATTCCATAGACATATTCCATAGACATACTGCTGCACACACGTTTGAACTGTACAGTAAATTGACGGTCAGCAAGTCACTTGTAAAATGTCTCAACTTTATTTATCTTGAAAATGGTCATGTGCCTGCATTTCTTTTGTTCAAATCAATACGGGGATTTATTAAAAATAACACCGAAAATGAAAAACGGTGAAAGCATACCCTAGAATTAAGTATTTTCAGCAACATTTAACTGAACTGTGTTGAAAACGGCGAGAGAAAAAAAGATAGGCGCAAAGGAGTTGGAAAATTAGGCTCTCCGAAAAAATAAAAGAAACCGTTCAGTAATAAATAATCAACATATGTTATTGTGTAATTTATTTACAGAAATGTCGTCTACAAGACAAGATCTGCGCGCCATTTTTTTCCTTTATACGTAATGTTAGGATTCTTGAATTAGAATCCAAGATTTTGAGAAAATATACGAATAAATAGATTATTGAATAATATGAGAAATATTTTGGAGAAAGTAAATTTGCAATAATCGTTTAATATAAGAATTTATATTCTATATGCGTCCTTTAGGAAAATTACAACAAAAATATTGAAAATTTTGAGAAGAAATTTGTCTGAAACTTTGAACGTGAAAATAGAAATAATTTCAGAAGATATTTATTTTCGACTTTTAATAAACGAATTTAGCAAATTTGTACGACACATTTAATATAAAAATTTAATTAATCTCGCAAAAAGCCACACACACACACACACACACACACACACACACACACATATATATATATATATATATATATATATATATATATCACATTATTATAATTAGTAGGGATAATTCCAAGGAGGATATAAATCCAAAGAGAGGTCAATGTAAGAACAGAGCAAATATAATAATGAAAGCGGAGCCCTTAGAAATCCATTTAGGTTATAATTAATGTTATGGGATCAGTTGCCCATCTACTCTTTCGTAAAACATTGATCTGAAGAGATGGGCACCATGAAAATTATCAACTGAATGGATTTCTAAGGAATCCGCTTTCATTATATATATATATATATATATATATATATATATATGTGTGTGTTTATGTGTGTATATATGTGTGTGTGTTTGTGTGTGTGTGTGTGTGAAAAATTTATAGAAAATAGGAAAGAACTCGTTAGGTAAATAATCCAAAGTTCTTTAGTATTTTTGTTATTATTTTTTAAAAAATAGTGCTCGATACAAAAGTAGAGCATAAATATAATTATTTTTTTTTATTTTTTTAATCACATTATCGTTGAAAGACGAAAGGAAAACACCATATTGATACATGTTTAAATCCAATGTAAGGTTTCAGCTTACATAAGCCATTATCAAAGATGACAATTTCAATAAATCAAACAACACACGGACGAAACAACAATGATAGTCCGCCCTTGCTGGATGAAAAATTTCAAAGTAACAACAAACTCGTATGCACGAGACGCGGAAGCGAAAATCGCGTCGCAGCAAGGGCGGACTATATATACCATGAATCATTCATGCAAAAAGTAAATTAGTGAAGTTAATGATATAAAATAGCGAAATCCCTTCGCTAACTAAATTTTAATGATGCATCAACCCTCTAATTACTCAATAAATGTTATGATCAGAAACTGTATTAGGTCTTCATTAAATATGTAAGTACTTTCGACAATTTCTCTGGGCATCATCAGACATGAAAACTATTTTGTTTATGGTAAAATTCAGGTAGCATTAGTGTGTTAATTCCTCTTTAAAATTTAGTTGACGAAGGAAGGTCGCCATTTTATATCATTAACTTTACTAATTTACTTTTTGTATGAATGATTCATTGTAATATAAATTAAACTGCACCACATGTATAAATTTATAGAAATATATTTGTGAGATATATATAAGAGAAAAAAACAAAATTTTTAATATTACCCTCTAATACCATTAATTAATGAAACCTAAACCTTAATTAAGTTTACCAATATAACAATAAATAAAAATTGCATTCACAAATTATTTTAGATATTGAAATAATATAGATGTTATTGTTACCGTATTTTTCTTCCTATATTGTGGAAACACAACTGGTCGGTTAAATGAACTATTGTAATTTTAAATATTTCTTTAATATGTTCTCGATAAATATATTTATTACAATAGTAGTTAACTTGTATTAAATCCCTAAACTATTTACTTAAAAAATTAAATACTTAAATTAATATCTTCCAATTTTTTAGAGACCTAATTTTCTATAAAACATTGTAATCTATCTTTTACATAATTTTGTTAAAACAAAATTACAGCCTCTTTCGATTCACTTCCGTCTCCCCTTCCCTCTTTACCATAAAAATCTTTTGAATACGTCTGTCTTTTTTTTTTTCTTTTTTCTCTTTTCGATTCCTTTTCTCTCCCCCTCCCTCTTTGCCATAAAACTCATTTGGATACGTCTGCTTTTTTTCCATTTTTTCTCTTTTTTCCTTTTACTTTATTTCATTTCCTCACAATTCCAACATATCACTTCCGTTTTCTTTAACCATATAAATAGGTCAAGGTTAGGTCACTCCTCCTACCCCAATATAAAATTTATTTAAGAGAGATGTAAATTTAACCCTCCCTATACTTTGTATTGTCTCTTTAACTGCCACCTTCACCCACCCTGTTTAATTACAAAAATTATACTACCCATCAATTTCTAATCACATTTTTCCTCTCATTTCATTGTTGGAAGTGTTACCTGATGATCCGAAATCTTGGTGAAATAAATTATTGTAATGGTACCTTAAAGTGGTCTGTTTTTCATTAAATATTAGCTCTGTTCTTCACATTGAGTTCTCAGGATTTCATCCTCCTTGATTTACCAATTCGGTTTATAACTTATATATATATATATATATATATATATGAGTCCATACCTGAAGACGTGTGTAGGAACAGACGAAAGCTTGTAAAAAAATAAAAAAAGACCTTATGCAACTGGAATTTATAAACAGGGATCATATCATTCATATACAGGTTGGGGGTTAATGTACTTTATTAAAAATTGTTTGCGAAGATGTATTCTCGCCATTTAAATCATTAAGTTTTATATCTGTTTTTTGTATGAATAATTCATGTAATGTAAATTGAACTGCACCACATACTTGATATTAAAATAACTGATCATAACTTTCGGATAATAACTGTGACATTCCTGTATTTATTGAACAATTTAGTTGACTGAAAAACCTACCAGTACAAAAGAATTCTCCTATTACCATATTAGTACAAAAACGCACAATCTTAAAATTTAAAAATTCAACCTCGGCGTTGCGACCGCACGCTCCCAAAAAAATTCTTACAATTAACAATAACATATTTCTAAAACATTTTTCGGATTACATCTATATTTTCGTTGTCCTGTTTATACCGAGAAGTAAAGAACAAAAAAAATCTATTTCTATACCTGATGATGTCTGTATAAACAGGCGAAAGCTTGTAAAAATCTAAAAAGAATTTATGAAATTTATAAACAGGGGTCATAACATTCATTTATAGGTTCGGGGTTAATGTACTTTATTAAATTTGTTTGCGAAGATGTATTCTCGCCATTTAAATCATTAACTTCTATATATGTTTTTGTATGAATGATTCATGTAATATATATATATATATATATATATATATATATATATATATATATATATAAGTCTCAGATAGATAGGTCTCAGATAGACAAGCCTCACATAGACGAGTCTCAGATAGACAAATCTCAGATAGATAGGTCTCAGATAGACAAGTCTCATACAGATAAGTCTCAGATAGACAGGTCTCAGATAAACAGGTCTCAGATAAACAGGTCTCAGATAGACAAGTCTCAGATAGACAGGTATCAGATAAACAGGTCTCACATAAACAAGTCTCAGATAAACAAGTCTCACATAGACGAGTCTCAGATATACAGGCCTCAGATAAAAAGGTCTCATATAGACAAGTTTCAGATAGGTAGGTCTCAGATAGATGTCTCAGATAGACAGGTCTCAGATAAACAGGTCTCACATAGACGAGTCTCAGATGTACAGGTCTCAGATAAAAAGGTCTCATATAGACAAGTCTCAGATAGACAATCTCAGATAGGTAGGTATCAGATAGACAAGTCTCAGATAGATAAGTCTCAGATAGACAAGTCTCAGAAAAAACAAGTGTCAGATAGACAAGTGTCAGATAGATAGGTCTCAGATAAACAGGTCTCAGATAGACAAGTGTCAGATAGATAGGTCTCAGATAAACAGGTCTCAGATAGACAAATGTCAGATAGATAGGTCACAGATAAACAGGTCTCAGATAGACAAGTCTCAGATAGATAGGTCTCAGATAGACAGGTCTCAGATAGGTCCCAGATAAACAAGTGTCAGATAGACAAGTGTCAGATAGATAGGTGTCAGATAGACAAGTCTCAAATAGATAGGTCTCAGATAGACAAGTCTCAGATAGACAAGGCTCAGAAAGACAATTCTCAAATAAACAAGTCTCAGCTAGACAAGTCTCAGATACACAGGTCTCAGATAGACAAGTCTCACATAGACAAATCTCAGATAGACAAGTTGATGACTTCTCACCGGGCTATATCCTGAAATTCTGTCAAACTATGAGATATTGAAGCGTTGATACAGTGAAAAACTTTCGACCAAGGTGAGATCTCAGCTCGTAAATCAAATGCAAAAACACGAGAGATTGATCAGCAAACCCTTTTCTGAAGACATCCATAAAGAAAATCGATGAAATGAGCAAAGAGAATGCATGAAAACCTATTTTTCAATCGTTCTTTCCGCCGACAAACACAATGCTCCTCTCTATGGGTCAGCGGGATGGAACAAGGGCTGGGTGGTTACGGCCTGAAACCGACAAAACCTTTTACGTTTGCGGATAGAAATTTACCGGCCAAGATGAAGAGTGGGACGCTATTCCGAATATTCTAGAGTATCTGTTTCATATGAAGAAAAAAACAACAGCTCAGAAAATAGTTGAATGACTTTCAGTTTGAGAAAACAAGGCATGCACTTCATATTTTTGTTGGCATTGTAAAATTATCGACATTATGCTTTTCAATTTGCTGTTCAAGTGATTTATCTTTGTAAACTTTGCACTTCAACTGTAATTATATTTTTTTATTTACAACATAAAGTTACTTGGAGTTTCAATAACTTGACTAATTATCTGGAGTTTGCACGAATTTAGCCAACAATGTGAAATTCGAAATTCTGCTATTTTTTAAAATGTTGGAACATCGTAAGAGTAAAATATCGATTGACATAATAGCAGACTATTCGTTTTTCAAGTACACTCGTCTGCTAGAACTGCTAGCCAATCCCTGCTGTAGACGCTTGATCAGACACATTTTGTTTGTTCTGCGCATACAGGACCCACCAGTGATTTATACCGTAACAATTTTCAGAAGTCCTTAGTTACAGTTTCAGAGATATAGCACACACCCTGGTGTAATGAACAATTTGAACAAGGCAGTACGCAGAAACCCAGGCTAACTGATGTTAGCACGACCACAGATGGTCTTTGAACAGTTCCCTCTAAGCAATTTCCCATACAACACTTGCGTCACACCGTGGCACAGATTTTGGGCAATTTCCTAAAGTGATGCATGCTAGGATCGCACCCACAATCTGATAACATCAGGAAAGTGACAAATTTGACATAGTGAGATTTGAACCCGGGTATCAAGGTCGGAAGGGGAATGTTCATGTTATATATATATATATATATATATATATATATATATATATATATATGTGTGTGTGTGTGTGTGTGTGTGCATGCGTGTGTGTGTGTGTTTGTGATTTATATGTGTGTGTATTTAGGCAGCAAATTCACTTTTTAGGCAAGTCTGATTGAATAAATTACAAACATTATGTCTGCTTATTTTTAACATAATCTTTCATATTTACAAATATTTTTCCGTATATTGCAATTAGATGTCAAGAAATGCACTGTAAAAGAGAAAATCACTTTTATTTCCTAAGTTCTTTCCATCTTTTTTCTGAGATCATCATCTGGCGTGTAACTGGTAAAGCCAAAACTATGTCCATTACTGATATCTTTGTTTTGCGTTTAAATGCTATGCCTGACAGTTTGCTTTATCCTTCATTAGAACGTCAATATTTATCCATTATGGAATTTAAATGCCAAAGAACAAACAAAATCAATAATGGACATAGTTTTGGTCTTACCAGTTGCACCCCTGAAGATGATCTCAGAAAGAGATTGAATGTACTTTGGAAATAAAAGTGATTCTCACTGTTATAGTGCATGTCTTGCCTTACTTAATTTCAATATACAGAAAAATATTCGTGAATATGAAAGGATTGTGATAAAAGTAAGCAGATATAATGTTTGTAATTTATTCAATATTATATATATATATATATATATATATATATATATATATATATATATATATATGAGTGTGTGGTGTGTGTGTGTGCGTGTGCCATATATTTACACGTATAAGGTAACCTATAGATAAAACGAAACCCAAAATCTAGAGAAGTTTTAATGAGTTTATCTGGTGTTCGTAGTATAAGACGATCAAGTGAGACGAAACCGAAAATAACGATGTCCATGATGATTTTTGCATCAAATAGTGATGGTCATAGTAATTTTGACGGGTTTTAATTATGTATGAGTGTCTTATGTCTCATTTTGAGATGAGAAATAACTATTTTATGGAATCTTAAATATTTTGTTGCTTAACACCGCAAAATAAATACTGTGTAATGTATATTAAGGAAATATAAATTTTGCATGTAATTCTAAATGTTGTCATTTAATTGCATTGTATTAATGAATTTTAATTAGAAATCTAGATTGTATGTTATCTTAATTTTCTTATTTAACACTATTATGAGAAATAATGATTGGTGCGAATGCAGACAGAGTTCTACGAATCAAGAATGAAATATTCGTTCACGTTACTTGTCACTTGAGCGTGTTGCTCAGGCGAATTTTTGCAAATTGTTGTCTAATCATCTCTTGAATATTGAATTTTAATATGAAATCAAAAAGTAAAAGTAGTTTTATTACTGTTGTGGATTCCGGGATGAAATCCAGTACCAATAAATAACAAACGCTAAGAATGAATATAGGAAAATAATGTATTAACATAATAATACAAACTGGTAATGAGGGTTAGTAGTTCCAAGAATACGGGTTAGTAGCAAAATATCTATACAGTCTTTGGTATTGAAGTATCGCTGTATGACTTCTTACTGAGTCTACGTGCTCGCTCACTGTGACCCTTGCTCGATACGTTCGTTCTGTCTGTCTGTCTGTCTGTCTGTTACCTTTACAATCGGTTGCTCTCGTCTCTCGGGTCTTCACGTAGCAGTAGTATATGTATATACTGGGTGAGTCCATTTGTGTAAAAAGGGGAGAACCCCTCAACAATTACATTTATAAGTGAAGTACAGCAGTTTAATGTGAATTGTTTCAACTAGAAATATTTACATGGGTAGTTACCATAGCGAGGTAATTGTTAGCCTACCGCGATGAACGGTGCAAGCATACTAGCCTACTTACTAGTGCCGATACACCACAGGATTTAAGGTTAGCTTTTTGTAAATGTTGTATTAGACGACCCCCTATTGTGTGAGGTAATTTTTAAGATATAATGGTCGCCTTATACGGGGCAATATGCGGTATGTTGATT